ATATATAGATGGCAATGAACATTCGAAGTTTTCTTTGCCAGTACCATTTATATATATATTCCAAGTAGCGTCTACTAATGTGGGGTAAACTTAGATGTCACTAGTATTGTCAAAATCGCCGAATTTATTTTTATATACTAATATTTTTCATTAATACTCGTGCGCCATTGGTGAATCATAGATAATAATATGATCATACTAATATCATTGAAAAAATTAGTATTGTAATAATTACTATTAAATAATATAAAAATAAACTTCGCTTTCCATAATAGTTCAATCTTCAGGCACAAATGACACGCAATTAATTGTCAATTAAATTATCATATCCTCAGTAGTTTTTGAATAAATTCTCATTTAATTTCCACCTGCACACGAAACAATTTTCCTTTTTTTTTTTTAACAGAACTAATGAACGNAAGGGTATCAATTAGGTGGTCAGTTTGAATAACTGATTGTCCATGAGCATCTGGTACTCAACAGTGTTGCACAATGATGATACTCAGACATACGAAACATGGAAATTTATTTTTAGAATATATATGTTAACTAACCTCTTCTTTTTCTATACGACAAGGGCCAGTCTGGCCCTGATAAGATATATAGCTATACAACACTGCATCCAATCACCCGGTAATTAGTAGGATTCGTATCTTTGTACTCATGGATTGTTTGTTGTTTGTTAGGTTATATTAGGTGTGATTGACGTTGTTTATGTTACAGCTAGCCTAGAGTACTTTTTTGCGCGTTGTAGGCTTGTATGTATGTAATCAGTTGAAGTTATTAGCAGTAGATCAGTATTTTAGTGTCATACGTCAGTGCAGAACAGTAATTTGCATTGACTTGTGCATTTCTAGAGGAACAGTTTTCTATAAGCTGGAATTGGATGTACGGGTCCTATACCTTGACCAGCGTGTAGTCCGTTCGGATCTAAATCTGCTTGATTTCTTTGTATGAGGTTGTATGACACATCGAGTGTATTAAACGTCAGTGCAGAACGCTGGTGATTTGCACGACGGTGTGATGATTACTGCAAATGAAATACGCCAAATGCCGGACGCACTTGCGCTACTCAAAAATAATTTTAGTAGACGCCTCGAAGTCTTTTAGTACAGGGACAGGGACAGACTAGTTATTTGATTAATTGTAATCCCTATGGGCGTCTAAAGATTATTATATGAGTAGCGTAGTAGCAAGCTATTGAAATTTACTTTATTATTCGTTCAACAACCGTCACTATTCATCGATGTAATTGCTTAGTCGTTATCGCAATTTTTCTATACGTTGTTAATTCACGTTCTGGATTGCAACTTCGTCTGGTTTTCCTATAAGCCAATAACAGAAGTGTTTTGACACAAAAAAATCCAGAAGTCAGTTTGCCAACTGATTTGGAAGCCTTGAATAGTCTGTATTAATAAGTAATAAATTGTTTTGGACAGCTGAGTTTATTTGGAAAATTTATGGTGGCACAATTACGGCAAGGAAAAGTAGCTTTTTGATTGTAGTTTTTTCCTGTGGTATTTACTAAAAAGTGTCTATGGAAGAAGATGTAGGTATTTAAAAAACCTACAAAATGACCTGTAGTGGTTAACAATTAGATTTATAGTTTTCAAATTACGTAAAACCGATAAAATAGTGGTAATTTAAATTCGTTTATAATTAATAAGCAATCAATCTAAAACGTCTAAAAATGCGCCGAAAAGGTAGCTCATGTATGGCACAACAATATCCCCTGAGGTGGACGTTGTATGTATAACCGTATTTGCACAGTTGCAATTGTTTATTAGAAATTCTTTATAAATAATTTGTTGCTCTGGGAGCTATCCGACAGTGTCCAACAAGAGCTTATTTTATTTGCAAAGAATTGGATTTGAGTTTTCCCTTTTGCAGAGCATTAATTTTTGCAATGAATGAAAGGTAAAATAAAAAATGATTGAAAATATTCAAATGGGAAAAGGCCTTTATTGACCTGTTATTGTGCAAGAGTAACATGTTCTTCGGTGATAAGCAAATTTTAGCTGACCGAGAAGGTTACAGTATTAGGCTGCGTTAGTGGTTCTTCGCTCGTGCATAAAATCGACCAACAGCAACCCCTCTCCAGTTCCAGAAAACCATGAACTGTGCCTGCAGACAAACGTGTTTTCAGATTCAATTGGTTTAACTCATAATTGCACCGTTATGCTTGCTCATTTTGATGTTGGTGTGTAATGGTTTTGCGCAAAAAATCTTCACTGACGATGATGATTTATATTTTTGACACGGTTACGCCTTTCGTTAAGTTCTTTGCATCAAACGTGACTATGAAAGCGTTTCATTTCCGGAGTATGCTTTCAATATGCGTAGAATTTAAGTTGGTTTCACGTTTTCGAGTGTAAGGAACTTACTAATAATTCGTTGCGCAACGCTGCTATGCACCTCCTTCTCA